TCGCTTGTTTTACTTCTATAATAAGAAAAAAGCCAAAATTCAAACTGAATGTTTCAGATACTTTTCACTGTTCTGTGTTTGACATTCTTGTAACTCAAATACATAATGCAACATTTAGCATTATCCATTTTCAAAGCAGATTAATATATTTTATGACAACTATTAATATAACTGAATTATACAATAATTATACAACAATAATAATAATTATACATCAACTATTAATATAACTGAATAATAATAGGTAAATCATTTTCTTGGATTCCCAAAACAGGTTTCACTTCTTCAATACAATGTCTTGGAGATATCTTTTACGACAATCAAGGCATTACTGCTTCATAATGGTGCTCGGTCGTAAAGGTGCGGCACTTTCATCCAAGTCCTCTACCGTTTCGAAAGACAGAAAGCTTCATAAGGGAACCCCGGCATAAGGATGCCACACCTTTATGAAGATCAATTTCTAACTTATAAGAAAGCAACTTTCATAAAGATGCGGGTAATTTTATGCCGGGACACTGCTATACAGATAGGGTTTTATTTGCTACTCGGAATGAAAATTGTGATGGGGCATTGTTATGAAGTGTCCCTCCTATTACACTTGGAAAAATACGATGTAAAGTAGCCTGCCTAACATTCACAGTCTCCTAGTGTACTGCATTCTTAAGCTGTAAATGTCAGATTGTATGTGAATGAAAGCTTGGAACATTGATGATAAATGTCTGCTGAATTTTTCTTCCAAGTAGGTGATAAAAAGGGGCTTTCATTCAATTCCTTGGCTTCACTGCGGCACTTTCTTTTTTTATGGAGGAATTTCAAAGCTCAGGTTTAACAGCCTTAAAAAGGCAATTCGTCCGGAGATCGGATATTTCGTACGACGTGGCGTCATGGTAAAGGATGATAATGGTAATGGAGATGGCAGCAAAACCTCGATTGTCAAGGGAACACACTCAAGACGTAGAATAAAAGACAGATATGTTTTGTAAATCCAAGACATCTAACTGTGCTCACTGTATTTTTTGCTGGGGATGATAAAAGTGTTATCCTGCTTGAAAAACACTAGGTAGCATAAAATGCCCCAGCCTGTAATAAAGTGACATCGAAGTTATTGATATACAAGGTAAAATAGAGTAATTAGGCTATTGGTGGCTTTCATTTCCCATTAAATTACGAAATATTGGCTGAAAATAATTAACCTTTCATATGCTTACAATAATCGTTCCGAAAATTTTAGTTTGCATAGTTGAACTCGAATTCTGAAAATTCAGACTTAGAAAAACCATTTGAAAAGAAACTGCGCGAAGTTAATTTAAATAAAAGACATTTCATTATTACCATTTCACAAAAATATGTGGCCTGAATTACTAATGCTGTTACTGCATATATTAAAAATAAAAGTAACTAAAACTTGCTTTTACTTATATTTAACGAAAATAAAACAGTCAGTCATAGCACGACATTTCAAATAAGAAAAGTAAGCATCAACCGATAAATATCCATAATGAAATACTGGTGTTTTTTCATGAAAATGACGGTCTTACAGAAGATGTAGTTAAGTCTTAATTATAGCATGCCCTGATACTTTTAGTAAATGCAAGCTGCGCAACCTAGTTTCCATAGATGCTTAGAAAAGAGCTTGACTTTAGATTGTTTTTACCGATCGTGGTAGCAACAGATGATCTTGGATTTTGAATCGGATAACTATCATGGAGGTACTCTGTGATTATTATGCATAGTTTAAAATGAAAGTTAAGCACAAGCGTATTCACGATCTGATTGTTCGGAACATTGCACACTTTTCACGCCTCCTTTCCCCCCAAAAAAATCATGACTCTACAATTCTTCTGTTTACAACGCACATTTTAAAATCATAATTACATAATAATTTTATGCTAACTTATTTTTAAATTTCTTAAATACGTTTATTGGTCTGTATTACTAACATATGAATTTTATTTAAGTATGCTATAAATTTCTTGGTTGCTGTTTTCTCTTCCTTTATTTTTTGTTTATATGTTTACTGCATTAATCATTTAGCGCCCTTGTTGATGAATATATATTTTTTTTTGGGGGGGGTAAGCGGCTTTTTTGCCCATTTATTTTTGTTTTCATTATTTTGTAGCATTATATTAAAAATATGGGTTTCTGTACTTCAAGAAAATTAACGGTCCTTTTGAAGTTGCGGTAAATGATTCATGTTCTGAGCCTCGCTTTCCGCTAGCTTTTAAAACGTAATTTTCCCTTCCTTCCTTTCAAAAGCTGGTGTTCGAGTTAATTTTTTTAAAATTTTAGTATCCTGTTTTCTGCACGATTCTTATACGTACTGAAAAAGAAGTACATCCCTTTTAATGCTTTTTCATCTGAAATTAACGTTAACTACATACTTCTCAGAAAGTATTACTATAAAAATTCTTTTCTTTAAAAGCTGTATTCCCTGGCTTTCAGTTTTAGGTTATTTTAGCGGGCAGATATCTACTTACAAATGACTGATATTACAAAAGAGAAAGCAAGAATTTAGAGTTTTTAATTAATTAATTAATTTTTAATCATTTGTCCTTAACCGATAGCTTTTATTTTTATTTATCAAGTTTTCAAGTCTTAATAGCAGAAGAAACTACGAAGCCAGCAAGCAAAAATTCACATTGATAGTACTGCTAATTTTGTTGAAAAATGAAATGTTTTGAATCCAATGGAATCTACTGAATTTTTCGGCAAAGAAAATTACAAATGTACGCTTATACAAACAATGTTAGAAAAGAAAAATAAATAAAGTGTATTACATGAGACTACGGAGGGAGAAAAGAAAACTGTTTTCAGACAATTTCACCATCTCTCCCAACAAAAATGAAATTAGGGCACTTGTAGTGGTTTTTAATACGAGCGGCAACCTTTCACAGGAAATACCTATTAATTTTTGCTACCGTATTGATTACAGAGAATCGAAGATTTAATCTAGCGCCATACACCGCCACCTCAAACGCTATTAAGATAGAAAAATCTGAAAACATTATCTTTCACAGCTATTTTCATTTCATTTCAAGCATGAACCTTTCTGTCGGTCTTAGAAATAATTTTCGATAATGATTTAAAAACAGTTTTTATTTTTGGTTGGCCCAAAGGGGCGTTAGACCCAAAGGGCTATTAGTCTCAAAACGGCATTTTTTCTTCGCTTCACTTTGCGTTGATTCACTTTTCAAAGTGTTGCCACCAAATATTATTGCCATGTATTATATTTAAAGAAACTAAATAACGAAGAATCTGCATGAAAGTTTCTCTCATTGTGAAAAAACAGCAGTTCCTAAAGCCTATCAGATTTTGAATAACGTAGTCCTCCAACAGAACATAGGCACTTGGAAGCCCGAATTTTGAATTTGTTTTATTATCTATTTCAAATTTAGTAAAACTTTAATTTTTTTTTTTAAATTAAAGGACACCTTTCTTTCTCTGATATACTAACTCCTCAAGAAGTGAGAAAGAAGTATAATGCCCATTTTTACCTAATGCTCTCAGACGTTTTACGTCAGAGAGAACCGAAAATCAGAAATTTTTATTATAGTAAAACATAATAATAAATAGTCATCTAAGAAGAGAAAACATGGAAATATTGTTAATGGAAAAGTGATATTAACTAAATTTAATGAAATGGGAAAACAAATCTGAAAGGTTTCAGATTTGTTTTATGAACCAATTCAGATTTATCAGACCTTTCAGGTTTCAGAATTACGTCCAAAGGGGTGCTTTTTTAACGTTTTGTACGTTACTTTTATTTATAAGATAAAAAGGTCCCTCTCCCTGTAGAGTGTTGCCATTGCTGGCTTTTAAATCGTTGAGTTTGTTACTCAAAAATTCGTTTAAGTTTTACAAAATATGAAACCTATAATAAAACAAATTCCAAATTTCAAATTTGGTCCTCCACATCCCCATATTCGTAGGATGATTACTTTATTCAAAATTCGATCGCTCTATGTACCGTTGTTTTATCACAATGCGAAAAATATGCATACATTTATGCAGATTTTTCATTATTTAATTTCTTCAAATATAATGCAGGATTCTAACAGTTGGTTTCAACAATTTGAGAAGTGATTTGCCGTTTATAGTGAATCAACGCAAAATCGCAAAACGAAAACAGTCCTTCAGAGACAAAGCCTCTTTAGACTAAAAAGGAAAAAAAAAAAAAAGTGTTGAGCTCATTTCAGAAAAGAAAGAAAGCACTTAGCTTTCGCATCTGATAGCTGATTTTTATCAGGACGTTTCAGCAATTAAATTTTCTGAAATACTTCTAGAATAGTTGATTATGGCAAAACACCCGACGGCAATCAACCTGGGTTAACTCCGTAGAGACTTTTCTAATCGACTAAAGCGTATTAAACTAGCTGTTGAGGTATATAATTTGCACATGGTTCATATTTAATCTGTGCTTGAGGAGAATCACATGCAATAATAGTAATAATAAATATAAATTCTGGAAGGAACTAGCGGGTTTTCGAGGTTTTATCCGTTCGATCATACGTCGGTAACTGTCTGAAATATCTCCAAAATTAATATATTGCTCATTTAAAATAAGAGTTATATATTCTCTGAACTCATGTAGTGCTGGAAACAATGGAGATTATCCCCAGTCACTTCATTCGCGATAATAAGTTATCGAAAACATGCACGAGTAAGTATATTCCTGAATAAATTTACGATCAATGCACTTTTATACACAAAAATGCATTCACTCTAAATTTATTCACGAATATGCTTATTATGCACGTTATATAATATTTTTAGCAGTTTTAATGAGTCTTATAATATTATAAGTACACAGATGCGCACGCGCTGTTTTTAATAGACATATCTTGAAATGCAAAAATAAAATCTGACGTTAAACTAAAAAGCTTTTTTATTTTTTCATATTTGGGGCTTATATTTAAAACTTTCGAATTTCAGACGTACTGAAAACAAGCAATAAAAACATTAACAAACATTAAATCAAACAATATCGTAAAATGGCTTACCGAAACCAGGAGGTTGCTGACAAGAAGGACTAGAAGTCGAACAGATAAAGAAATATTTTCATATCTGCCCATTTGGTTATGCACAAAATATTCGTATTTCATCCGAGAAAATAGGCACAGTTCTAGGAAGTATCCACTTTTATTGTATTGGGGAACTTTGAGATGATCTTAACCGGTCGGTAAAAGCACACCATCCTGCACTGCAGTTCATTCCATAAATGCGGAATCTGGAACAAAAAAAAAAAGTTAAATTATGAATTCGTTGTTTCGTTATAAATACAGAAAATCCATTTAACATTCGTGTGAAAAAACATGAAAATCCCAGAGATTATACAAAGAACATCTGACCCGATTCCGATGGCCCTATTCCACTGATTTTGCCGCTGGGTCATGATGACATTTCAGATCTCGGATATAATCAGAAAATGTTACCTAATTTAATTAATAATACATTTCTATTATGCAAGTAGTAATAATAATAATAATTGCGCTCAACGGGTTAATATTTAAAGCAGAAATAAACGACTATTTTCCTCCTTAATTTCTAGTTCCCAACTTTCCGCGAAATCGGCAAGATCGTTATTAAGGCCTAACGATAATGAAAATCAGCAATCTTTTTGAAAGGGCAAAAAACTTAGCGAAGAGAATAAATAAATAAATACCAAAACTAACACTCGAACACTTTATCCTCTAAATTTTTCAATTTATGGAAATTTTAATTTTCTTTTCACGCTATTTCTAAACTCAGAAATAGCACAAATTTCCTAATTAGGCAAACTAATTTCTTGAGAAATCTCTAATTTTGTAATACGTATCTAAAAAACACTATTTTTGATATGAAACGAAACAGTTTCTCTTTTTAAACTAACTACCGTCAGTGTTATATTAATTCTGACTTGTTTTTTTGCAACACAATATAATCTCGTGATATTAAAGTAGCTAGAAGTTTGATATTTCGATGGAAGAAAAACAGATGGCCAAAAAAGGTTAAATTATTTTATGCAATCAAATCAACAGCAGAGCAAAATAATAATTGATTAATGGCTGAAAAGAAAATCGGAACTAGTTCAATAGTTTCTTTCCCTCCCTACCAGAATATATAAATTATTTTCTCTTTCACCGCGGCCTCGAGTGCGGAAATCTGGCTTTTTTTTTTTTTTTTTTTTTTTTTTCAGTTGAACTAATTGCGTTGAATAAATAATCGACGCGAGCATTTTGTCGTAAGCGGCGGCAATGCTAAAGAACTGCGAAAATGGATTTCACACAAGATTTTGAGATTTAAGAGGCATTAGATTTTTCAGCCTAATGGTAATGCCACATTTCCTGACTCTATATAAAAGCTAAAGGAATTGTCCAAAACGATGGAAACACTATGCTTTAAAAATTTAGTCTGCTCCTTCCCCCGACTACACAGTAACCCACAAAAGTAGGCGTCACGTTTTCCCTTTTTTGTATGATGATTTTACATATAATTTCAAAGTTGAGTAAAACTGGAATAGTAAAACTTAGTTCGTAGTCAAGGAAAATGAATAACTTAATTGAATTCAGTAGGCATAGTTCTGAGACAAAAACGAAACATACTAAAAGAACCAGAAGGACAAAATAAGACGACCTTTTCGTTTAAGAGAATGCACCGCAGAAAAAGTGACTGCTGAGCTTAATATGTTTCTACACAACCCATTTTCAGCATATACAGTACTGAAGGAACTGCATAAGCAGAAGGCTTACGGCACAGCTGGCTGTCTCAAAGAGTGTTGTTTCACAAATAAATGCAAAATAGAGCTACAATGATGCCAAGAATATAAAATGAGAGATATTGATTAATGGAAACAAGTACTATTTTCAGCCGAGTTAAATCTTTTCATTATTTCCCATCTGAAATCGAGTTTATGTGCTGATAAGTTTAGGATCCAGACTGTCTACTTCCTACAGTAAAACAGTCGTTCAGTTATGCTTTGGGTAATTATGTTGTGGTTTGCAGCACGTCCAATTATCATCAAAGAAGAATAAGCAGTGATTGCAATTAAATCATTTTAAGCAACCATGTCCATTCAACGACGTAGGTACTAATCTCCCTCGGGAAAAAAAAAAAAAAAAAAAAAAAAGAATGCAGATTCGCCGGAATAAAAATTGTTAACGGATAATTAAGTTAGGATGGGAATTACATTTTACTAATAACTCTGCTCCTTTGGGATGGACATTGGCAAACCACAAAGATAATTTTAATTCTTAGTATCTCAAAAAAAGGTGCTTTAAGAGATATTTATGAAAATATGGCGAAATTTTATAAATAACAGGTCAGATCTCATTACTGGACAAATATCAACCATTATGTATAGAATTACAGTTAATTTGGAACTTTCATTTCCCGATAACTTTTAAATAATATAATTTTTTTTTTTTTTTTTTTTTTTTTTTTGTATGATACCTTAAAAATATCAAACTCATATTTAAGAGGTCATCATATAGGCAATCGCATATGCTTTTACTTGTTAACATCTTTAAAGGGTCATCTAATAATCGGGTAAATACGGTAGCTATTTTTGTTTAGCTTTTATTTATATTTCTATTAATCAGCCTGAAATACGAAATAAAATTAAAAAAGAAAATATTACTGAAATTTTAGCAGAACCACTTTTTTTGCGTCTTAGATTTCTGCTCCGCTCTTAACGCGTCATTGTACCCTGACCAGTTTAAGCAGCACTCAGGTAACCTAACTGGAACAAACAATTAATCTAAATTTCAAATGTAATGCTAGAAATTCAACTTCTTCGAATTACTAAAACATTTTCTTTTTTACATTCACAGGCAACTTGCAAGGTTGTCAGCATAGGATGTCGAATATAGACCTTGAGGCCTATTACAGAATGGCAGCTCTTTCTTTTCTTTTTTCCTCCCTTATTCCCTTTGCACAATATTTAAATGTCAAGTCTACCTTGACGGTCAGCTTAAACAGCAAAATAAGCAGAAATCAAAATTTCTGAAGTGTATCTATCACATCTTTCTGAAGTGCATCTAAGCCAAGTATTGTTAACGAAAACGTGTTGTCGGGGCCTTACTACCATGTAGGTTCACAAGGAGCGGGCTTAGAGCTCCAAATTTTCAAAAGTCTCCAAATCATCTTATTATTTTTCCTAATCCTGCTTCCCTACAAAAACAAGAAAAGCAGACAGTGGAGGGACCTTGAATTAATTTTAGAACCCCTGGTTCGTTTATTCGGGCTTTGGCGTATTTTAAAGGAAGACCTTTTTAAATCTTTCCATTTATGAAGCTCTTTCTTTTTATTTAAAAGCACATTTCACTCACAGCTACAATTTCTCAGCAGGTGTATTTAGGATTGTAACGCAGTCTGATAACTTTAAGCACGTCTAATATCAAATTTTAAATGAATTTAAAAATTTAGCATATTGTAAATCAGTAGAAAAGTTTATATTTAGATTGTTAAATCTGCAATCAAAAGAAGTATCAGTTACGCACAAGTAAGCACGATACCCTCAGTATAAAACCTTGAACCACTTTCAGCCTTACTTCATAAATACTAAAAGTCGTTTCTAATTTACTAATTTTAAAAACTGCTGGTGCATTCAACTACTCAGCCGATCTTAAGCTCTTAATCAATTTAGTGAAGCGGCGAATATTACAAGCATTTTGTCACTTTATGATTATGATTAAAAGACATTCGCTTGGTTAATCCCTTGATCTTTTATCTCGAAATATATTAACAGTGGCGGAAGTTCATTTTGATGCATATCCTTCGCTAAAAGTCAGCAAAGTGAACCATGTTCATAGCCATAAGCAGTCTGTATTTTAAAAAGAACTTAATAATTACTCGAAATACTCAAAATCAGAAAAGCCACACAATAAAAAATTTAATGGCGTTTCTCCACAATGTTTTCTAATTTTCACTTTATATGAACATTTTAACATCTGACACCCAAAGAAGTACAGTTAACATAAAAACTTATTACATAATAAAAAATGGCGGGGGGTGGTGGGAACTTTACATAGGTATTTCCTCTTTTTTGCCGTCAATTCAGTTGTCATATGAAAAGAAGTTTCTACTATGTTTATACAGTACTATGATATTAAATCCTGCGTTATAAAAATTTTATTTACAGAAGGCTTTAAAAAATCTCGAATTTCAACTATTCTAATTAGTACATCCATAATCCTACTTATCAAACTGCTTAAAACATAACACACAGTACAAAGTCCGAGATTCGGAATCGTCGGGATTTCGAAAATTTCAGAATTTTAGACCACCATTTTAAATCTAGTAAAATGACATTTAGATATGGCAACATTGGGGCTTAACTTATTGTTTAGGTCAGGTAGAATGCTAACCTCCCCCCCCCCCTCAACAGCCCGGTGCCAGAGTAGCTACAATCGGTGCCGCCGCATCAGGTATCAGAATTTAGAAGCGGCAAAAATTTTAGAATTTAGAGAAGCACCAAGCAGCAAAAACTAGGGATGGCAGAATTTTTAGAGTTTAGGACAGGCGGAGACTACTCAATTCGATACATTTACGAGTTTCCAAATAAAAAAACTTTTTGCATGATGTCTAAAAAGATTTAACTCAGAGAAAAATCTACTTTTTAAGTAGATATTTGCTTCCATCAATTTTTCTCATCACATGTTTTCTTATACGAAACACAGACAGAAGTAACTCAGATTTAAAAGCTTTCTTCTAAAACTTCGGGATTCTTCATGAAGTCTTACTAACCTATACACAGATTCATAGTACTAATTCAAATGCACTTTCACACTAAAACAGCCTTCCCAGATTTGGGAAGGGATGTATCGAAACGAATGACTCCACGTATTTGCTTCGGATGTCCTGTTATTATTACCCATGATAATTTATTTTATAGGTACGTGATAGATAAAAACATTATCGCACGCCATCTCGGTTCCCAATAGTAGTCTTACCTACTCATACCTATTTAACTTGGCTCTAAGCATAATCACTAGCCCCAAGATAAATTGCGTAGGAAGAATCTTTGAACTTTGTTCCTCTCCCCTACCTACCATTATTTCAAGCACGCATCGTAGCGGTGTGGGCGGCATACCAGTGGAGTTTAAATGGCCGGTGAACGACTGCACGAGAATGAAGACTAGGTGGGTGAAGAGACCCCCTATTTCATTCGTGCATCCCATATACGCCTCAGTTTCTCATCTAGGGTAGTGATGTCAGAATGGTTCTTCATTTTTTGAAAACTTTAAAACG